GGTTCTGTAGAAATAGATGGACGTTATACTAAATTCATTGTAAAAGATTCAGCCCTTAGTTGATCACCACATACTATTGAACTCTACACATTACAGCTGTAACAATCTTCTAGAGGTTTTTAAAAAGAAATATTGGAATGATCAGAAATTACTTATTATGTGACAATTTTGATACCGTATGAACACTGCATCTAGATAAATCAGTAAAGTCAGTCTCACCAGATTATTTTTGAACTGCTTCTTGCTTATGGACACTGTAATATGGATACATGGTAATGGATACATGGTAAACAATTCCAAACTTTCATGAATGAAACTAGATGGAATACTAGAAAATCATCCAGATTTGTCAGCCATGAGGTTCAAAGTTCAAAATGGACAGATAAGTGTATTTTCTCATTTCTTTCAGCAGGCTGATAACCTATCACCTCTATTAACCACAAGTGATTGCTGCATATACTCTGTTCATTTATTTTCCCTCTTAACTTGAGTTTTTCTCCAGGATGTATAACATACCCTTTGGAATAAAAAATGGCTTTGTGATTGCAGTCAGACTGCTGAGCATTTTCAGAGCCAGCAACTACTCCAGCTGCTTCTTTCTGACAAATAATGCTCATTAAAATGAGTTCCAATTGAGATTCAAATACTATTTTTACACTTATGCTTTTTTATGCAATTTCTCTTGTCGAGGCAATTTAATGATTTCAGGTTGTGAATAAAATTTTTAATTAAAATGTATTTTTATTACATATTAGGCTTCTCACTGCTATGCTTTTCTCCATTTACTTTGATCTGTTCTATATGTATCAGAGTATGGAAAATAAACCGAGGTGGTGATTAAAGAAAAAAAAACACCCTACACACAAAGAGCTTTTAGACAAAACTATTAAAAAAAAAAAAAAAAAAAGAATGCTTGAAATTGAGTCATGTTTATGTTCACCTCCCCCAAATATTACAGCAAACAATTTCAAACAATTTTACTTGGTAATACCACGTGAACAATTATTTTCTGGTAATATTGCAGATTTTCATGGGAATTGTTCTGAATTTTTCCAGACTAAAAGTGTTACAACCATCTAGCCAGCCCACGAAAAATAAACTAAATTTTCTTTGATGTTTGGCTTTAAAAATCAGTTACATATAGTAATACAAATGCATGCCTAAAACCTTTCTCACAGGAAGAAACATTTTGTTGACCAGTTATACTGTTCCAAGAAAATGAATACCAGATAGGCAAACTGGAATAACTTTAGAGAAGAACATAAAAATGTGTTTTGGGAACAAAAAAGATTGACTTTCCAGGAAAAGCTTTTCATGCAAAAGCCATTTGATTAAACAACACTGACTATGCAACTACCTGTAAGCCTATTGTACTGTGTGCATTAAGAGCTCGCTTTTCAGTTCTCCAAGGAGGTTCACCAAAAAAAAGATTGATGCAAGCAAAGTTATCTCAAATAAGGAAAATCTCTGACAGCACAGATAAACTATTAGTAGTATTAGCAACTAAAGCTAGCAGTATTAGCAAATAAATAAAACAGAGAAAAAAAGACAGAGGGAGAGATCTGGTTTTCTACACAGTGTATCTAAAGGGTCTTCTTTCGTTCATAGCTAAAAGCTAGCCTGGAAAGCACTCAAGAATGTACTGTAAGGAACAATAATGTACTGGCCAGAGCTGCAGATGATCTAATAGGCTTGCAATTATGTCCTTACAAAGAACAAGTGCAAAAAGCTACAGCTGATTTTTCAAAAAAATTAGTAAATTAATAAAGCTATAGGATTTAACTATAAGCACTTCACATAACGTATGAACTTCAATGAAGCAAAATGGTAAAATTTCTCCCATTAACATAGCTTTTAGCTTTTGTCTGAGATACTTTTGTTAAACTTTTCTACGTTCAGAGAATGCCCATCTATGCATGTTATGACTCACTTGCAGGAAAAATTAAAAAAGAAAAAAAAGAACACATAACTGCCAGATTACAACGTTACAGAAAGACTACAGCATCAATTTATTTCTCCTTTGTGATTCACACAGTTACAAATTTTACTACTTATGGGAAGAAATATAGCACTGAATTGAAAACCGGTTAATAAAACTATGAAAAAGTCCTAGAATCTTGTTTCTAAAGCAATGCTGTTGGCATCTGACTGGATGCTTAAGAAATAAAATCAATCTATTTTTTAAAGGAGAGAATGGAAACTGACAGTTCCCTACCAATATCCAGTCCATTCTGGCTTCACTAACACTTACACAATATCATTTTATTTTTCAAAACATCAGAGTTAGTTGGATTAAAGACAGTTCTGCTATGCTTATCCATATTGCAACTCTACTTCTAGCAGTCACTGTGACACACGCTCTCTCTCCTCTGGGAGAGAGACTCTGGGCTGATGCAGTTTGTATACCTATCTTGAATAGGAATAGGAATAGGAATAGGAATAGGAATAGGAATAGGAATAGGAATAGGAATAGGAATAGGAATAGGAATAGGAATAGGAATAGGAATAGGAATAGGAATAGGAATAGGAATAGGAATAGGAATAGGAATAGGAATAGGAATAGGAATAGGAATAGGAATAGGAATAGGAATAGGAATAGGAATAGGAATAGGAATAGGAATGTTCTTCAGAAACTGAAGCACTGTCAATAATCAACTGAATAAAAAGGTTATTCTGATGAGATCATAACTACCCTGCTCAGTTTCCATCTGTTCCCATTTTAAAACCTGTATTTTCATGAATGTCTGAAAAAGTAGTATTTTATAGCACTAACAATTTCAATTCAGAATGTGCTCTGTATTTTTAGTTGAACTCTGAAGATGATAATTTAACGTTTTTAAGTTCTAGTTTAACTTTGAAGGTAATTGTTATCAAAATCTGTTTAAGACAAAAGCACAAGGAAAAATTTTGCAGCAGGAAAAATGAGGATCTTTATTCGTGGAACTATTGAAAAATTCATGTTCTCTCTGCTTTCCTAGACCATTAGGTCTACCATTCCCAGGTCTCAATCTGATACTTTAAAATAGAAAAACTTTCAATTTATAGAAGTAATTGCATCTTTTTGTTGTTGCTTTCACTGGCTATTTTTATCAAATTAACTATTCTTCCAAAAGGAATCACCACCACTAAGTGAACCATCTGCTGTTCCTAAGAAAAGGCCAAGATGTAACTAAGCAACAAAATAGGAGAAATATGAACTTTTTATAACGTGTACCATGGAGCTTTCTCTTTGTAACTGGTAATATTCATTGCCCTTAAAACATACACACTTCCAAGTACCCATCTCACTGTTTCCACCTTTAGCTGACATAGAAATGAAATGCATGACAAGTACTAAAAATTAACAAAAATAGAACCTTAGGTGTTTTTATTAAGCCACTGAAGTTGGCAGGTAGTGCCTATTGAGACAAAACAGGTGCTGGAATTGAAAAGCAAGGCCGGATTTGGAAAGGACTTGGGTTTAGTTAAAATATCATAATCAATCTTTCCACAGGCCAGAACAATTACTAAAAAAGAGCTAAGTTTAAAGGTCCAATATTGCCATTTGTTGTTCTTCCCTGAAGTCTCTCTAGTTTGTCAAGCATGTACTAAAATGGCTCAGGATAATTTAACATCCCTTCTAAATCTCAACCAAAACCACAGACTATTAATCCAAGCCCATCCATAATGCAATGTTTCTTTCATAATGATTTTGTCTGCTTTTGTCTGTTCAACCATTTATATTTTTTAATGTTGGGGGGACATTTTTCTGTATTTTTTTCTTGATAGCAGTTGGGACCGCTCCATAATTGTGTTTTCTGATTTCAAGACATGATGCTTACCTTTTCTTCTGCTTCAACGGGGAGATTTCAAAATAACACTACAACCTAAAGACTCAACCATAAAATTTAGTCCTCACGATAAGAATGAAATGCTACAATTAATTAATAATCTCTAGTTATGGGCATGCACTTTTCTTTTCCTGCTTTTGGTACCCAAGTATCCAGCAGAGAAATTATCCTCTTTTTAGAAGTAAATTATTCATAATGTCTTTTATCTTTTTCTTGATTTTTTTTTTAATGACTACCTTCTAATTAATACTAATTAATATCAAAGGCCACATTCTGAGAAAAGAAACATGACTAGTTGAGTCTCCCAGCTTTTAGCCTGCCTTCTCTCAACACACCAGAGCACATACACACTACTGCTTTGTAGATGCAGAGACTGCCAGCTGTTACCAGAATCTTGCTCAACAGAGCAGCTCAGCTGTCACTATCTGAGAGGCTTCCAATTACATTCAAAGATCTAATATATTTTTTCATGAAACCTTAGAAAATCTTTATTTATTAATTTTTATATGATTTGACTGCAATAAGAATGCTAATCATGAAGACCAGACTAGCCACTGCAAAACCTGGCATTTTTGTTTTAACTACATGTGTTATTCATCTATTTTCTTCCATTCTTTACTATCCATACTAATGGAATGACAGCTTATAAAGTAAAAATAGGGCAAGAGAAAAATATCAATATTTTTTGTTAGGTGTGTTTTAACACATAATGTGTAGAACTGCAAAAGGTATTTTTACATTGTATGCATACATCTACATATTTTGATTACTTCTGTAGGAGGCACACTAAAAGAAATTAAATGAACAAACATTAAACACGAGAAGCAATCTCTAAAACAAAATCAACAGGATTTTAGCTGCCCTAAACTGCTTTCTCATGCAAAAAAGGTCAGAAGGTGTTAACTGTTGCAAACTGATACAAAGACCAACAGGAACTGACATCCTGTTCTCTGTTTTATAACAGTGCTTACCTCACACCATCATATTTATATTTTAGCTTGAAACAACAATACTGCAATTCATAGAATTGTATTCATAGATTTGTTACATTCAGAGTTTCATAGAATGGAGACAAAAGCATCTAAATTTCAGAATCTGGTATTAGTGGTACATGTATTTTCTCCTGCTAGTTTTGCATTTGCAATATATGACTAAGTTTTTAGTACTCACAGGCTTACCATCTGGACCAGGCTGACCAGGATAACCATGATTCCCAGGCTGCCCAGGATCACCCTACAGAGAAGTAGTATGTTGACACAAACAAGACGTGAAAAAACATTTTAAAATTGGCAGAGAGAAACTTTAACACTAACACATCCCATAAAACAGTGGCTGCAAGTCCAGATACCTGCTATTGAGGAGTAATTCCTACAGCAAAAAGGAACTGATCTTGTAAGCCCTCCCTGGGAAAATTCTTCCTAACTTCTGGTTCAGGACTTGGAGAAGAAAGCCCACACTCACTATTACAGCGCAGGCTTGACCCATAACCTCATATGCCTTCAAGCTTTTCAAAATTGCCAGCAACAGGCAAAGAAAAAAAAGAAAAAAGTTTTCATCTAATCTCTATTAAAACCTTGTTATTCCAGCATTTCTACTGGGAGGAAAACTCTCACCTGTACACCAAAGATCTGGCTGAGTCTAGTTCTTAAAGCAAAAGCATGGAAAGGCATGAGCCAAGATTAAAACCTGGTAAATAACAAACTCTTCTCCACACAATTACTGCTGTCTATACATATATATATATATATTTAGATTTCTTCTTATAAGGCCTTTGCAATTATTTTGATAACCTCTGCTATGACCATAGTAAGGGAAAAGAAGACAGTTTCTCAGGGACCAAGTTGACTGTAGAAGAGCAAAAGCATATCTCCCTACTCAGTATATCCTCTTAGTGTATTTCAGTTCTCTATTTATTTTACTAACAGACTTGATCTTGACTTAATTTGGACCCAGAAAAATATGTTAAGACTTCAGCCATAAAAATATTTTATTTCTGCAGAAGCTTTAAGCATGCACTTTAATCATTTCTTCAGTCTGATCCACCAACAGACCAGGTCAGCTACCACTGCAGAACTGTTATAAACAGGGAGGAAATAGGAAATTGATTTTCAGTGTGATTGTGAAAAAACATCTTTTCACAAATAAACCACAGAAATGTAATGCTCAACTAAATGGGAAAGGACATAGAATAATGTCTCTTTAGAAGAACCACAAACAGTAACAGCTATCATTTTATAAATTAATAGTAGGTTCTTTGCAGTTATTATTGTCCAAATTAAAGAGTCCAGGTTTGAGATCTAAGAGAAAATAAATCGCTTTCAAATATACTTTCTAAACTATGCAATGTTATGCCCTTAGCTTAAAAAAATTAAAATGTTACTTGTATTTTATTTTTCTAATTAATTTTATTGTACTCCGTTAAAATCACAAACACATAAATTAAGTTTAAATTTATAAGATTTCAAAGTCCAGTATTCAAACATTGATATGTACTGTAACTGAGATATCCTATAGATTTTAAACTGGCTGTCTTTTCACTCTTTCTGCAGTCTTTTGGGTTAGGCACCATCATGTTAACTGCATTATTCCATTATCCTAAAACAAATATCATACTGCAATGCAATTGGAAGATTGCATGTCACCTTAGTTCTGACATATCATACTCTTTCATGCTTTACAGGATGTACAGGATGGTAAGTACTTCCTTCTATCTCTTTTTTCTTTAATATGCTAAAGAAGAAGGAAAGGGTAAAAAACGCAAAAAATCTATTACATTAAAAAATAATCATCTCCATCCAATTCCCTGATCAGAAACCTTTGTCATTATAGAAAAATGCCCTTTAACTGGAGGTAGCTGCAACAGAATGTTATCCCTTATGTGATGAAGTATTTTCTTTCAATCATTTGCTTAATGAAATATATGCATTTCAGGGACTTCTTGTCTAAACTTTAAGCAAAGCTAGGAACTGGGAACAGCACTATTTAGCACAGTAACTGGGAAAAGTACTACAGCAAAATACTAGTGATCTGAGTCTGACACATTAGGCATCTGAAACGCAAATCTATTTTGCATTTTAATCCTTCACCAATACTGATGAGAGGTCATAAAAATCAGAACAACTAAGGTAGAACTCTCCTTACTCTCCCAGTAAGCATTTAGTCTATTCTTAAAGAAAGAAGAAAATTCTCCATTAAAGATTATTAGCAAACTATTAGCAAACTATTTCATTCTCAAACAACTGACAGTGCAAGATCATGTAAGTGATCAAATGCAAGATTTCTTGCCAATGCTGAATACTGGCAAGAAAACGCAACTTGCAAGCATTTTATTTGAAAGTAGAAGACATATTTGTGTGTACTGGGTCTGGCTGGAATGTTAACTTTCCCAGCAGCAGCCCATACAGTGCCGTACTCTGTACTTGTAGCTGGAACAGCAGTGTTGTGGGGTTTAGCTGCCCAGCACGGTAAAACCACCACATTGTGTTATCAGGAGCTAGGGCACCCAAACCTGGCCCTGCGGATCCTAATCATTATATTCATCCACTGGAAACCAGAAGTAGCAGAACTAGTCCCCTACTTTTTTAACCTGCTTGACCATGGATAGTCAACATAAAACGTCAAGAAATAAAATAAAGTAGGGTATACTCAAGAAGAAAGAATGGAAACTTACTTTGGGGCCTGGAGGTCCTTGTTTCCCTGGAGGGCATATGCAGGGGGCAGGCGTGGAGCCTACATCACTAGGGCCATTCATGCACTACCAAGAGTGAAACCAACCATCAAAACACATTCCATGAGCATTGAACAAACATATCATAACGTTATAGGAGGCTGGTTTTCCTTAGGTTGCATAGGTCCTAGCTTTCACTCCTTTGTTCACCTGGAACTTCTGCTCACCTGAACACTGCCTTACAACTACTTTGCATGCATGAATTCACCATTTAACAGAGAAGAAAAATAAATAAAAAAGTAAGTACTAATACTGAGTTGGTACCTGAAACTCTATTTGCTCCTCCACAAATCTTTTGTCAAATAGCTTGGTAATTTTCAATCTGGCAACATGCAAATCTGTTCTCCTCAACTAACCAATAACCATCCTTTGAACTGTGAAGAATTATTAAATGTAACTATTTAATAAAAGTTTTTTAAAATAATTAATAAATAATATGTAGAGCATAGTGACCACATCTTACTGCATGTTATCGTGTAACAAGCCTGAAAAGAGCATAAAGCCCATGTCTCCCACCTCGTGGGCATATGCCCCAGCCATTATGGTACTTGAGGAGAGGTGAGGTCTGTCTGCTGCCACTGATTCCAACCAGTAACCCCACAGGTATCTATCATCTAGTTAGGAGAGTTCAGTGAACTCCTTCAAACCACTGCTCCCTATACAAACAGCAGTAAACACTAAACCTGGACAGATCATTTGAGGTATCTACTTCCCACCACTGAGTTCACATGAAACCCCAGTGTTTTACTAAGGTAGGCAAAGGGAGAGTTACTAGATCAAATTCATTTGACCAGGGCTAGGCACCCAAAATTTAGGTGCATCTGTACTCAATTTATAAGATTAGACTCAGGTTAGATTCAGTGAATTCTCTTTGACCTAGTTCTTAGAAATGTGGAAAGGCATAAATATGGGAAACCAAGCTATGAAAGAACAGATTTTGTATTTATTATCTAACACACGTTCTAGAACATCTTTTTTCAGATTTTCTACAGTAATGCAGACTTTTTTAAATCGTCTCTGAATAGAATTCTCTCTTAGGGTCAAATAATTGTTTAAAATGCAAATTCACATTTCCTTCATAATGGTACCAAGCAGGAATGGTGTAACCAGGGTGGCTAGGGGACCTATCATACTAAGCCTTCAAACCAGCTCCCTTTCAGGGAGCTCCCATTTGCATCATCCAGGAACCTGACTGTTCACTTTGCAACGGCATCCAGCCCTGAAAATAAGAGCAATTCAATTGAACTGGGAAAAAAAAATCAGGCCATTTATTCTAATAAACGTGTGCTTCTACACAGAACTGATTTTGAATTTGCCATTGAGAGCTCAATTAATGGAAATCCAGCATTTTTAAGCTTAGCAAACCTCTGTCCATTTTTCAAAACAAACAGTATATTCCCTAGTATAGTAAGTTATATAAAGTCATATACTACCTTAAACTTAGTTTGAGCAGTTTAGGATTGAGCCTACCTCTCCATTCTGAAACAAGAAGAAACACAGTTTAAGAATAAAGCAATATTTGCAATAAACAAAATCAATTCGTCTGTAAACATTACCAAAAACAATCATAAATGTGAGGCTGTAAATACCAAGCAACTACAGTTCAAAATTTCAGACTTTCTCAGGTGTGTGTACAGCTGCTATCAACATATATGAATTTTAGTATCATTTATGGGTCTTTCAAAAGGAGCTGCCAGTAGCAGTTTTTCAAAGGCAATGACAAAGCTTTAAGTAAAACTGGACCATGTAAATATTTATACACTGAATGTTTAGATTTGGCTCAAAACAGGAGCAAATTCTTATTTAAAAAAAATAAAAAAAAAAATCCTCTACTTATTCACTGATGTACAAGAATGTACCAAAACATTTCTAAAATCTCTGATTTCTGCCTGAATCCAGCATCTGGTAAAATATATAGCAGCACAGAGGCAAGGCTGGCTTTCTGTTACTTGCTTTCCTGTGTGACTGCATAGTATGTGCAGTATCATAGAACAAACCATCGCCAAATATTTCAGCACATCAAACATGTAATTGACTTACTAATTGAGTAGCCAGCATTACCTGCACTACATGCAGGAGTTTTATGATGCACACTGTCACCACAGACTTTACACACAATCAGTGGAGAGAGGTGGCTTCCTCTGTATTCAATTTTCATCTCAGGCAAAGTCTAGAGAAAGTTGTCTTTCCCCAGTGATCATAGTGGGAGCTTAAAATTACGATGCAGCCAGTCGTCTCAGGGAATTTAGGCTGTAATTAGTACATACAGCCCCTGCTTAGTTCAGGAGCTCTGACACAGCCACACTCTGATGGAGTACAACCACAAACCACATATGCCTCCAACTTTCATTACCTCCTTGGAGATCATCCAACATTTTTATTTCCTGAAGGAGTCCAGAATTTCATGAGTGAAGCCCAAATTTAATTTACAACAACAGTAAGTGAAACTAAACTGGCAAAATGTGATCTCTTTGCTCAGACTGCTTGCCGAGTTGTAGAGAATGCAAAATATGATAGAGTTTTTAGCGTTTGCTTTCTTTAGCCACTTTTTTTTTTTTCATTGATTCATTTTTCATATCCTACCTACTCCTTGCAAAGAGCAAGAAGATATGTGTTACAGGTAAATAGCTAAATATCAAGTTTACATCGGATTTAAAGCTAACTTTACAATAGTGTTCCTGAACCCATTAGTCACCTACACATACAGTCAGATTTCAGAACAGCTAATAATCCAGACACCTACTTGTTGATTAAATTAAAGGTGTGAGTTTTAAATTAGACTCATATTGAGTGCTGATTATAATAGAAATACTGGCCCTAACTAAATAGCAGCCAAACAGACTAGCTGTAGGTCTATGCAAGTTTGGCAAAAAATGAAATATCTGGATGTTGAAGATTCATGGGCGCTGTTGTCAAATTGGCAAGATGGTCCTAAGTCCTAATATACCAAATCAAAACATGCCGAATATGTTTTTGCAGACTAACACACTGGTGTCTGATTATCTTAGACACCAAACAAAGGATGAAATTCTGAAGGAAACTGTAAATATAAACCTATCTCTTTTGAGATGTGAGTTGAATGCTTTTGAAAATCTAACCCCAACTGTGTATCATGAATGATTTCCAAGTTTGTTTTACATTTCATTGTATAATTAACTCTATGTAAGAGGGCTAAGAAAGGATCAAAGCCCCATAAGCTTTGTAATTGTGTACGAGAATCCTAAAACCCTGAACTGCATTTTATTTTCATCTTATCCATAACATACTTTGTAAAATCTTGACTTCGTTTTAGTCAATGGGATTTTTAAATCAGACTTCAGCATAGATATGAAAAGGTGATTTAAAAATATAGTTTTTTGGGGTAAATATAGAAATTTCAGATGTTAAATGACCTGGCAAGCATCAAGTATAGAAGTATAGCAGATAAGTTAAAAAATATATTTGAAGTATTTTTTGCACTGCTGTAACCTAGCTGTTTTATTTATTTATAATGTTTAAAATCTTTAATTTCTAACAGATGATTCTGAGATTCTTCTATACTGCTGTCAAATTTGCACCATCAAATATCTAAACTAAAAAAAAAAAAGCTTTTAAAATATGTTCATGCAAAACTAAGTTTGAAGGCAGACAATCTCTGGGTCACCTGATATTGCAAAAGCAACAAGCATTCATTTGCACCAGCTGAATCTATGTAATGTTATTCATTTTAGGAACTCACTATTAAGTCAGCAGTAAACAGTGATTTGTAAGAATGCCAAGTAGTCTGCAAAAGTTTATCTATCATACTCACAAATCCCGGGATCTCACAGACTGTTTCTCGATTATTTTGCTCTGGGTCACAGTAGATTCGCAGCTTTTGTATATCAAACTATAATTCAAAACATAAAAGACTTTTTTAGAAAAAGTGTTAATAGTTTGACATTAGTTTAAACTAGACCCTTCTTAAATTATATCATCCACAGTTTTTAAAAAAGAACAAAATATTAAAAAGCAATAGAAACAGGGAAGTCTGTATGTCTACTATAGTTAAAAATCAATTAAAGCTGTAGAAACATCAGGCTTCTCACAATGATTCATACATGCAACCAATTCAAAATTCTGTCGCATAATTATTTAAAGAAAAATAATCAATCCAAGGTTTTGTTTTCTAAAGTAATAGAAATCACCACCCTTAATCCTTGGCAATAAATCCAAACATGCACAGCACGAATTACACCCGCTGCCAACACCATTTGGAAACAGTTACAACTGCATAAGCAAAGCGTACATTTTCCTTTTTACCTTAACAGTGCTGCTGGTTCGATCTTTCTACACTGTCTTGTCTCTACTAGATGTAAGATTACTAAAGTTTGGCAAGGCATCAGAAAGCATCCATGACACTTGAAATAATTTGTTTTAGTTTAGATTTGTAATGCAAAACTGTAAAAAGCAGCTGATAGAAACATTGGCACCAGAAAAGCAAAAGTTTGCGCCATTCTGCTCTGTTACTATACTACAGAAGAATGAAATTTCTGAAGTTAGTTTTTCTCTTGTGAACCTACCATGACCACAGAGAGAAAAATGCCCTGTTACACTTACAAGAAATCACAGACCATGAGTTTTACTAGCAGGGAGAACACGGCACAGAATATTGAATCTGGCATACATAGTAATATACATTTTCAAATTTAAAATGTCTTAGCTACAACTTTCAACACTTAAGTATGTACACAGGTTTATCATCACTGTACTGGAAACCATGTAAGCCACTAAGACCTTAATTAAATTGAGAAGCCTTGCAAAACATCACTAGAAAACTTCTGAATCAGAGAAAGAAAGAGAATGAAAATTCACCAAAGAACTTCTGAAGGATCTTCTATCATACTTTGTCTTTCAAAAACATTTCAAAGGATTCAAAGGAAAAAGGATTCAAAGGAAAAAATATTTCAAAATACATTTTCAGTGAAAGTTGGCACGCAGACTCATTAAAATGTTTATAATCATGGTTTAAATAGAAATATTCTGGCAAAGGTTGACTGCTAATGCTTTACAGAATGTGTTGCAGTCTGAGAAACCGGACAAACAGTAAATACCTTTTTTAGATTTTAGAAATCAGCTGGAAATGAGGAAGATTTTCCACTTTTCTTCTAGTCCACTGTCAGGAGAGGATCTTATATAGTTCTACTCTCATAAAATGCTTTCATTTCTATTTTAGACAACATGTTTGGCTAATAACATTCTCTAATTGAGAAACTGTATTACTGGGAATCTATAGAAGTCCCATTTCTGCAGCAACTTAAGAAAAAAAAAAAAGGCACTAAAATCCTAGAACACACAAAACTACGAAAACTGGATAATCCCTCGCTGAAAGGGAAAATGTATGAGATGATTGGTTACACTTCCAAAATCTCTTTCCTTGACATAAGTGCCTGAAGTCCTACCAGAAATCTGTGAGAAGCATTCATTTTTTTCACAAAGAAGTATTTTAGTATACAAATTACATTTCCACCAGAAATGCTGAGTCACACACACAGTATGTCACCCAAGTTTCTGTGTACATTTTTAGAATATGGTAATAATAGAAATGAAGCCTGGCTACAAATGCACACAATTGAGAGTAATGATTAACAACATCTGAAGAGAGTTAATGAAGATGATGCAAAACACATTAATATATTTTAATAGGAGTAGTAAGGATCATGAAATTAAACAGTAGAGTACAAAAAAGAACAGCTTTCAAAATGACTAAAAAAACCCACCTGCTCAGTATTTCTTAGTTCAGTATTTCTTAGTATTGCTTCTTTATTCTCAGTCTAATTTGTACTGCTATTACCACATTGTTATAAATATAAGGAAACAATCTATTTAGCAAACATTTGGAACACTGTCAATGTTGTAGTCCTCACCACTGCTCTATACATCCTTTACCTACAGAGCCTGATGCTGTTACCAGCTTTTTGGTGTCTCTGTACAGCTGTAGGCAAGAGTAGTACACCTTCCTCAGAACAAAGGAGTTTCAGGGCTTCTTTCCATCACAGCAAAATCAAACAGTGCTAGTTTGTGCACCAAATATCTGCAGTACAACATAGCTAGAGTTGACGTGCTTCATACTTTCTCCACAGCTAGCAATGAGAAGGAAATTTCCTCAAAATTGTGTTCTCTCTCTATTGTGCCAACAGAACCCATACACTGGAAATTACATGCAACTGTCAAGCACAGAGGATATTCCCTGCTCTGAGATGTTGTTCCCCAAATTTGAGCAACTGCACTGCAACAAATCAGTGCTTCGGCAAAAACAAACACCTGTTGAAGTCAGTGAGACCAAGTAAGTCCTCATCACACAGGATACACCAGTTGTGCTGGGTCCTTCTGACAGTTTATGTTCCCTCTTAACTGCTAAAATTTAATATATTACATTTTAACCTAGAGTATATTAGAAGAGTAGGTTCAGAAAAAGAGAAAGCACCAATGAAATGTTAACCTATAGCAGAACTTCTAAATTAGCCTGATATTTAAATTACTGTGTTTTTAACATAAGCATACCTGTACAGTTTCCTCCTTTCCAGAATACTTTCCTATTTGGGTTAGTCCACTGATGTAAATACCTAAAACAGGATGTAATGGCTTCGTTTCAATTTCTTGGTCATCTATATACAAAGTTACAAACTCTTCTGTTACTAAGAGACGAACTTGATGCCAGCCTTCATCAAACAATGTCTAAGAAAAGTGGAAAAAAAAAAAAAAAAAGGAAATGTTTAAAACAAAATGTCTTTAATTTACATTACAGTAAAACTTCTTTTCAACACTGAAACAACCTGTCAATGGTTGAGATGATCAATGTTCCAGGTTTTGTCACAAACACAAAAATTATAACTGTACAGGCAAAATAATAGTAGTCAAGTAATAATATAATTGCAAAAATGGTATTTGCTAACGAGTAAGTCTATACTTCAGAATTATTTTTAACTCACATAGATTTTTTCAGTCTGCCCCTGAACATGCTGAAACATATTTCTTATAAATATGATATCAGAGACCTTTTTCAGCAGCATAACAAGCATCTCAAACACTTCAGATCTTAAATCACAGTAAAAACAAATTGGTACTTAAAAATATATACACACTTAAACAGTATCTCTGTTTCTGTTGTATTTTCATTTGTAGATTGGGATTTTACTTATAATGGCTCTCATTACAAACTAAAATAAACAACAAATCACAACATAAAACATTTCCATTTTCCAGGGTAATGTGATAAGCAATCATTTTAAAAAGGGTCGTTAATAATGCAGTGTATTTATAGTGTGTTTATAGATGTGCAGATCTAAAAAAACGTATAAAATTATTGTCCTCCATAATAGCAAATATAAGCATAGAGAAACACAGAAGAAATAAAAAAGTTGTCTTTGCGGTTCATGGATACCTGGGACTGCAGGAATAAAATTGATTTTTCATTGTAGATCCCCAAAACACTTAAAATATTTCAGATTGACTTAAAAATAAAATTTCCAGCAATTTCCAGTAAAACAAATTTAACACTTTGCTCCTTTAAAATGCATATATTTTACCTACAAGTAATTATAAAAAGGCAAGGGAAATTTAGAAAGAAAAAAGCTAAATTCTCCATTTAATAAAAGAATAAAATACTCCCCACCAATAAAAGCCTGGTAGTTAAGACCTTCTCTTGGAAAGTAGACCTTTCTTCTCCAAGTACTTATATATCAAATTCCTTTAGCCTCAGCCTCATTTGGAGGAAGGTTTCAAATTCAGGCCAACACTTCCCAGAAAATTAGAACCCCCTTGGCCACTAAGTGTTCCATCCTTTCCCATTTTTTTTTGCTTAAGTGTCACTATCTTTCAAATTAATAAACACTCCCTGAGACAGGTATGGGAATCTCCAGGCTGTGTATTCCAATACTGGTACAAACACACATACAGAGACATTCAATGTCTTTCACAGGAACTTAGATCATCTTTCTTACAGAGTTGAGTACTTCGCTGGAAATTGAAAAAGACTGAAAAGGCAATCTTCAGGTTACACTAGGAGACAGTTTACACAAAGAGAGGAATCCATTTAGTGAGAAAAATAAGCAGCTGAAAGGAATTTTTACTCTACAGAGAACTAGACAAATCTAGGCTGAACTTATTTCTTCTGGAAAAGAAAATAGCTACTTTCATTATGCATTTTCAAGGAAATTTAGATACTTAACAAAAACTCTCTCTAAAAACTGACTATTCTTGTTCCAATTTTCTAGCCTCTACATCAAACACAGAAAATACTTTTCAACGTATGTTAGGCAAAGTGCTGTGTGCAAAACTTTCTCTGTGATTTCCACAAGTACCTGCTGGAAACTGCTGAGTAGAAAGCACCTGTAAAGCATTTTCACTGATGACCACTGTGGACTCTCAGGAAACATGGATGAAGTACTCACCATCTATTTTTAAACATCTAAGCAGCCAAGAATAAGATCATGCATTGTTAAAAAACACAAAGGGCAAAGGAAAGATGTGTATTTAAATGAGTATTCCAACATGATGCCTACCTAATTCTTACCTTTACACGAGGTGCATCAAAAGTAATAACCTGTGTGCCATTTATTAAACTCGTTGTAGTGAATGATAATGTTTTCTCCTCTCCATTAATAGTGACTGCTATCTGTGGTCTCTTATCCAGGCTTAGAATTCTCCACAAATCCCATGTCTTTTTCACTTTAAATCTTTGAGTGGAAACAAACACATAGGATGGAGGCAGACCTTCTGGAAACACATTCCTAAATAAGGGGGAAGTGGGAAAAAAAAGGACAATACTTGAACATTTAATATAAATCTTAGAACAAGTCTCTCTCACTTTAAACAATCAATCAAACAAAATCTTTTTAACTTTAGACGTATAAATGTATATACCTTGTCAATTCTGACAGGTCAACACGGGAGGTTACTTCATAAGCTTTGGCATTAGTAGTTGGTATTTGAATTCTCTTTTTAACCTTTTTCTTCACACCTAGTCCTAGAAGAATGTCAAATCCTTTTTCATCTCGAGCTGCCACTGGAATTCTTGTTGGACAAACAGATTCTGCAAAGTAATAAATGAACATATAGATAAAAATAGGATTTAAAAATTTCAAAAGGTACTCTCTCGCTTACCTAATGTTTTTTGTAGCTGCCTTTCAAGAAATAAAAAAGAATTGAGAACCGCTGGTTAAGTACAACAAGAGAGAAGTGATATGCAGTATCCTCTGAGACATCAAGTGTGAATACTGAGATGCCATATTTTGCTGCAACTACATACTTCTATTTTGATTTGGGACTAATTGTAGTAAAAGGTATTACAATATTTGACTAAAAATAATACTAGATTTAATTTCTAAAAATACATGGTTTCAGGATGTTACAAAATTATAAATGTTAATTTCTATGGTACACTAACAGTTTAGATTAATTCAGTATCCCTCTTTATTAACAACTATTTTTTTCACTTTTCAATCAAAATTTCACCAATCTAATTTGTTACACTCAAATCTGCTTGAAGCTATTCTCACTAGAGAAACAAAATTCCGTGGAAACAAAAGTTGGCTGGATGTTATCTTTGTTTAATTCTTTTTACAAAAAAATAATCTTAGGCAGTGGACTATAATGTTTTTAAAAAATGTGCAAGATAGCAAAGTGAAATGTAATGCTAAGGCCAATATTTTTACTAAACTAAATCAAATAAAAAAAAGCAAATGTTTCATTAAATTAAAATTATGCTAAATTATTTAAGTTTTCATCATTTTCCATTGTTTCTTCAGAAAAGCATCCATTCATAGAAAGAAAAGAACTTAGGAATGCATTCCAAAAAACGGGTGGAGAGTTCTCTCAGCTCCTTCTGGACCAGCCATGGGCTGAAAAAGTCATGTTTCAGTGCCAGGGAATTATCATTTCAAAGGTTCACTGGCTTCACTTTATAATATGAGCAACACTGCATGTCTTCTCTTTTTAGCAAGTTTAAGGGCAGTCAGAAGCTACCCTGTTCACGGGAAAGGACAATTCACATTAAGGGGAAATGGCACAAGTACTTGGGGCAGCAGCAAGAAGCTGCATACGTTTCCCTTGGTTTTCTTTTCCTCCTCAAAGCAAAATGTCACCTGACTCCCTAATTAAAAATATATTACAAGTTAATTGTTTGGTTCTACGAGAAGAATTGCAAGAACTCGCTTGCCTACATTAAGGAAACTAAAATGTCTACCTTCTGAATGCTACAAGGAAAAAATATACACAACTTTCTTTCTTACTCATCTCAAAACACAAGCCTCCTCTTCTCCAGGCTAAACAGACCCAACTCCCTCCAACTTTCCTCATGTGAGACGTTCCACTCCCTTAATCATCTTAGTAGCACTTTGCTGGACTCACTCCAGGAGCTCCACATTTCTCTCGTACCAGGGAGCCCAGAACTGGACACAGTACTCCCAATGAAGCCTCACCTGAGTAGACAGGGAGGATCCTCCCTCAACCTGCTGGCAGTGCTCTTTCTAATGCAGCATAGGATACCATTGGCCTTCCTGGTTATAAGGGTACATTGCTGGCTCATGGTCAACTTGTTATCCACCCTGACTTCCAGGTCCTTCTCCACAGAGCTACTTTCCAGCAGGTCAGGCCCAGCCTTTAGTGATGTGTGGGGTTATTCCTCCCCAGGTGCAGGTCCTGGCTCTTGCTTTTGTTGAATTTCAAGATGTTCCTCTTTGTCTATCTCTTCAGCCTATCGAGACCCTTATGAATGGCAGCAGAGCACTTTAGGGTGTCAGCCACTCCTTCCAGTTTTGTATCACCAGCAAACTTGGTGAGGAGGCACTCTATCCCTTCATCCAAGTCACTGATGAATTAGTTAAATAATACTGGACCTGCTGACCCACAGGGGACACCAATAGCTACAGATCTCCAACTAGACTCTGTGCCACTACACACCACCCTCTCAGTTCTGCCATTCATCCAGTTCTCAATCCACCTCACTTTCCACTCATCCAGCCCACACTTCCTGAGCTTGCCTGTGAGATCACAGGAAACATGATCATGGAAAGACAGGATCAAAAGCCTTGCTGAAGTCCAGGCAAACAACATCCCACTGCTTTCCCTTCATCTATCCAGTCAGTCATTCCACCATAGCAATCGGGTTGGTTAAGCATGACTTGCCTTTGGTGAATCTATGTTGACTACTCCTGATCACCTTCTTGTCTTCCACATGTTTAGAGATGGCCTCCAGGATGAGCTATTCTATCACGTCTCCAGGGACTGAGGTAAGACTGACTGGCATGTACTTCCCTGTGTCCTCCCTCTTGCCGTTTTTGAAGACTGTAGTTGCATTTGCTTTCTTCCAGCCCTCTGGTACCTCTCCTGATTAGCCATGACCTTTCAAAGATGATCAAGAGTGGCCTAGCAATGATACCACCAGCTCCCTCAGCACTCAAGGATGCATCCCATCAGGACCCCTGGATTTGTGAATGTCAAGTTTGCCTAAATGATCTCTAATCTGATTCTCCTCAACCAAGGGAAAGTCCTCCTCTGTCCAGACCTTCTCCCTGGTCTCCTGGGTTAGGTATTCTGGAGGGCTGGCCTCCACAGCAAAGACTGAAGTAAAGAAGGCATTCAGCACCTCTAACTTCTCTGCATCCTCTGTTGCCAGGGTCCCTTCTCTATTCAGTAGAGGGGCCACATTTTCCTGCTTTTGTTGTTGATGTATTTGAAGAAGTCCTTCTTGTTGTCCTTGACATCCCTAGCCAGATTTAATTCCAAATTGGCCTTGGCCTTCCTTGTTGCATTTCTGCACGTTCTGACAGACATTCCCATATTCATCCCAAGTGGCTTGCCCCTGCTTCCACCTCCTGTACACCTCCTGTTTATGTTTCCGTTTTGTCAGGAGTTCCTTGTTCATCTTTCTGGAAGACATATTCAGCAGCTGTTTTCACACTGCCTACTCTAAAACAAACACTGAAGTTACCAAAAGATGCACAACAGCCTTCCATCTGCAAGGCTTATATCAGCACTACTTGCTACGTAAGCCACAAAGCTTCATCCTTCTTTTTCCAAAAAGTAAACACTGCCCCTATGGTCTTATATCTACGTTCATTAAATAACAAACCTAAAAACTCCGAAGAGTAAAGGCTAGCATTTTTTTCAACATTACAACACAGATGATTAAGTCAGAATTTAACTTTGAGGAAGTTTCATGTGGTTGATCACAGTCAAATCATTGCTGCTTTACCCTTATGGAGTAAGGGGTAAACTTCCTCTCCCAGAATCAAAATGAATCTTAACAACATGAATAAAATAATCTACCACTCAGACATAAAATTTCCGGTTTGCTAGTCTTTGAGTTCACCTGTTAAAAATACTGCAGTTAGAAACAAAGCTGCCAGCTGGCACTGATCACTATTCTTATGAGGCATCTCTGAATGTGAGGGAAGAGTATGACGTAAGGGCATAGAAAGAAAGGGACACTCCAAATAAAACAGTAAAACACTTAAAACAAGTTAAAGTATTTTGCATGTAAGAGTTGAGTCAAATGTCTCGCTTGAATTTTAAAGGATACTAGTAAACATAAAATAATACAATTATTTAGGTTGGAAAAGATCATCAAGTCAAACCATCCACCTAACTTGCAAGTCCACCACTAAACCATGTCCCTAAACTTAGTTCTGAAAGCAGGAAATACATCTTGATAAAATGTCACTTTTTCTGAAGTCTATTAAAGGAAAATATTGTGTTTATTTTGGGAAATTTGTCCCTGTATGAAGTTTTATTAAAGAATTTAGCTGCACTTAGCTGATTAAACTTTTTGACAGACTTTACCTTACTTTACATCAGCCACATGGAATTATTATGATTTTCATAATGTTATCAAGAAATAAACACTATTAACCTCAACATAAATATTGCCATATTTTTTTCAGTGAAGTCAGTACTCAAAGAGAGAACAAATGAAAGCTATTTTTCACTTAATTAAGTACAGGAATATGGTACAACTGAAATACAACTTCCATCAATTATTAGTAATAAAACGTACAACACAGCATTGATGCATATTCGCTGTATAATACAGTCCTTCTGAATGATATAGTTTAGAAGACATTTGCAAGCTTTTTTTTTTTATTTATTCAGGAAAGCCATTGTTTTACAAAGTTATCAGAAAACTCAATGCAATAACACTGCTAGCATTCTAAAACTGAAAAGTTATTTTACAATGTTGGTCTTGGCTAATTCTTCTATAAAATCCTTTTTAAAAAGATCGTAACAGCTTGTTACAATTCCAAGCACTTTTGCCAAGTGTCTCTCTTCTGGGTTTTTCAACACATGCTAGAGGAAGAACTCCTGTTTGTAATAATAGGCTATCCTCTCAACTGTCAGGAAGAAATGCTGAATTGCAGATTAGTATCAGCTGAACCTAGGAAAAGGAATAAAGAAAGCCCTACGGTCCCAGCACTCTGAGAATTGCTCAACTATTTTAGGGTTTCCAAAGTCTATCAATGTGAAAATTTTGGTGCTTAGGGCAAAATCCCACATAGTAAAATTAAGCACACACTGGGCTAACATTCTGCATATTTCTGAAGTATATCTCTTTGTTTAATGCAGAAAATAACATTTTGGGAGGGATTTCAGCAAACAATATCAAAATAAAGGAGGATCATAGTATAGTTTATCAAGTGCCTTACACTACATTAATCATGAATTCTGCTTGTGAACTAAAGGAAGATGGGTACAGAAGTCCATTCTGCACACCTTCTAAAACATTTTATGATCACTCACCTTCACAGAGTTTCTGCTTTATAACTTCTTTAATTCTTGATATTGCAATATAATCTTCAACATAAAATACATAAGTTGATGAAGGCTTGTTAGCAATAGCTTTAAGTTCATCCTCCTCAATCTCTGAACCAACACCAATTGCAAACAGCGTGATTTTATTTTTCCTTGCTTCTGCTGCTATATCTTTGACTTCATCTTGGGACTTCCCATCAGTGAGAACAACGGCTATTTTTGTTAAAAATCTTGAAGATTTCGCAAAAAGATGGTCATAGGCAAACTGAATAGCTCTTCCTGTTCTTGTATTTCCTCCCAGGTAGTGTATGGATTCCATTTCCCTGATGAGGTTTTCAGTGGATTCATGTGTTCCTAGGGGGATTTCAAGTACAGGGTAATCACTGTACTGGACAACTCCAACTTGGATAAACTTTGGTCCAATGTCAAAATTTCTTGTAATATTGACAAGCCATCTTTTGATTATTTCAAAGTTTTCTGGGCCAACACTGTAAGAGCCATCTAAGATGAAGACTAAATCAGCCGGAGCAGTTCTGCAACCTAAAAAGAACACATATCAAACAAGTATTTTAGTGAACGCATCCACTCTTCTCTTCCACAGGATTTTTTTTCATTTCAATAGTGTTTGTATTAGAATCTATATCAATAAATACATTCCATTAAAAATAAAATAAAAGAACACAAAACCAATCAGCTGACTTTGTTAGAGAAAACAAGATTGTTTCTGTAAATCACACAGATCCAACTTCATATCTGAAAACCATACCATTTTCTGTTTTTCACATTATCACCAGAAACGACTACGAAATATTCTGGAATTCAGTTCCTTAGCTGCCAATTGTATTTCATGCAATCAGCAGAGAAGAATACATTTTTTTTTATCCATATCTCTTTGCAGAGATTGGTCAACATAAGAACTCGTTTTTGTTAGCAAAATGTTATGGTTTTGGCTGGGATAAAGATAATTTTCTTCATAGAAGCTCACACGGTGCTGTGTTTTGGATTTTTGATGAAAATAGTGGTGATAAAACACCAATGCTTTTAGTTGTTGCAGAGCAGTGCTCACACAGAGCCAAGGACTTTCCATCTCCTAGTGCTGCCCTGCCAGCGAGGAGGCTGGAGGTGCACCAGGAGCTGGGAGGGGACACATTCAGGACAGCTGTCCCACACCATGTGGTGTCATGCTCAGCAATAACAGCTGGGGGAAAGAAGGAGGGGTGGACGTTTGGAGTGATGATGTTTGTCTTCCCAAGGAACTATGACATGTGATAGACCCTGCTCTCCTGGCAGTGGCTCAACACCTGCATGCCGATGGAAGTAGCAAATGAATTCCTTGGTTTGCTTTGCTTAGGTGCACAGCTTTTGCTTTACCTAGTGAACTGCCTTTGTCTCAACCCTTGAGTTCTCACACTTTTACTTTTCCAGTTCTCTCCCCCGTCCCACCTTGGGAGACTGAGCGAGCATCTGTATGGGGCTGAGCTGCCTGCTGGGGCTAAGCCTCAACACAAGCCAAACACACTGAAGAGGAAGGCTATAGTCTGCATGCTGCAGAATTCAGTAGTAATATCCACTCCTTCTACAAATATGTTCTAATGCACATCTGAAACTATTACTTGCCACTTACAAAACTAGTTATTATAAAGTCCCGAGTCTCAACTGAACATTGCTAATATCGTATTTTGATTTTATTAGAATAAAAATGATCAGTGAAGAAATCAAGCTCCAGAATACAAATCACCTATTAATTTAGCAAATACAATGCACTCTTCTTAGAAATGTCATCATAACTGCATGATGATGTGGCATGGATTCAGCACCTCTAGCTGTAGCCACTCATAAACAGAGCTTTTAGACCAAATTGCCAACTACAGGCCACGGACAAGTGTTTCTGTGTGTCAGTATTTTACATGCACATCCTCAGATGGAGGGAATAACTTTCTGGAGGGGAGAGCTACCTCCCATCCACTGTGAAAGGATCTGAGATAATGGATACACAAGGTGCCAAAGAGGTGGCCCAAAGCAGGAGAAATTAATCTGATCCCATGGTATGTGGAGTCATGGGAGTTGCTGTGTATAATTGTGCCTTCTGTTTCATGAAAGGCTGGAGCTCCACACTATGAAGAAGAGTTTTGCCTTGTCCTGACTTATGTCTACAGAAAATTCTCATCAAGTCAAGACTTCACCTTTCTTGAAAGCAAGTGGCCACAGCCAGATGCTTTTGCAGCATAGGTAATGGCAAAGAGAAAAGACACTGGGAGAAGGTTCAAGTGGTGAGCACAGCATCACTTTTCAGAGTACAAGAGAGATGATAAATATCCAGGTCCAGGGACACGAATCACTGTGTAGTTTAGGCTGGAAGGGACTTTGGATAGCACTGGACTCAGTGCTTTGCTGAAATCTCCACCATATATTATTTTGTATTTTGTGCATGTGGACCTGAACATGCATACTAGAAATATAAGGCATGCTTTGAAATTGCCTTTACCTGAAATACAAAAATTAAGACTTACTTGCTCTTGTTTCTCCATCTTCAGCTGAGATGTAATCATGAAGTATCAGAATTAGCAGTGTCTGAAAAAGTTTTATGATCTGTGCCATGTGTATTGTATTTTCAAAATCTTGAGATTAAACTGGAAAGGGAAGAAATAAAGAGAAATACAGTGCCATTATATTACAAACCTAAATAAATCCAAATTTATTTGTTTTAAAACCTGTGCATGAGGAACAGCTTTGAATCGAATCTGCAGACTCAGTCATGAAGCCAGCCTGCAATGGACCTCAGACCCAAAAAGCATCAGGCACGCAAGCCCAAAATGGAGTTCCGTGGAAGCTCAGTTTTCACAGAAGGCAGATACATATATATATTGTATGTATATTCCTCCTTCAAGATACATACATGAGGAGGTTATGTTATCAATAACAGCTACACTTGCCCACCTGCTATCGCCCTCTGATGCCATTATCCATTATATCCCATAAACCCCAGGGTTATATAAATTATATACATCTTAAATTTTATATTGTTTTAATTCTGTTTATATCATCCCCTTTGGTATCATGGTCTGTGAACAACACCTCCAAAAGAACATAATTCAAAAAAGCAAACCTGCAATTTTAGTCTCATGTTGCTGTCATAAGTATTATTTAACATATTTACCTAATTTAAGTCACATTTTTAACTTATTATTTATTGTATAAAAAAATCATAATGGGAAAAGACATTTCTGGAGTACTGTGTTAGTGATATATTATCTCAGAGAAAGAAAAAAAAACAAAAAACTTTCATATCATCTCATCCTTCAGTGCAAAATGATTTTTTTCTAAATACATTCCCTTCCCTTTTCACATCTTTTTCTTCTAGTCATAAGCATTTACTTATGCCTACATCAAAACGACCTACACTTTCACCTAAGCAGTCAAATATATGTGAAAATATTTATTACATAACAAAATTAAACATCTTTATATTGGAGGGAGGATGAAAGTTGCTCGCATTTGCACTTTTTGTAGAGCCCATCTTTAATTTTGAACTCTTCAGGGTAGGCAAGGTGTGTTCTGAACCATCTGTATGCTGGAAAATACTGTTCTCTAAATATGCACCAAAACAAGATTCAGCATACCTAATGCAAGTGCCTCTTAGGAGAAGAAATAAGTAAATGGAAGTAAGTAATCATCTGGATTTTTGGTCAGCTTCTTTGCTTTTCCCACTGCTTATAAAGCATTCATTCCATTAAGATAAAAAAATATCCACAATCTCAGGGAATGTACAAAAATCGGTTTCCAGGAGATGCAACCAATACCTAGTATAACCCCCCCAAAAATAATAATGCAAAAAACATGATTATACTATTAAATATCACATTCAGATCATGGATAATTGCAATGTAACACCATACTTTGTTTTCCATATTACCTTACAATAGAACGAGTGAGAAACCAGATGTACTTTGGGATCTATGGGATAGGATATACGATGCGCTGTTCCAATGATGCTATACAAATACTGGGATGTCAACTTCATTTAAATAGATTAAGTAGCAAGTTCTTGTCCCAAATATTGGAAAAAGGATCTGTTTAAACTATGAATTGCATGTATAAATACTAAGATTTTCTCATGTATTACATGCCTCCTATAGTATAAGTGGACAATTTACATTTTTCAGACTTGATGATTCGTAAATTTCATAATTTTAAAATCACTTTCAGCCTTTTCAGCAGCACACATTTACCGAAGGGTAAAATGCACCAAACTGAGCAATACCAAAAAAGAACATATGAAATGAATGTGGGAATTTGACTAGCAGGTCACCAAGAAGCACAACTGCACTCTTTATCAGAAAAATATTAGCCTATAACTGAAATTTAAAAAAATCACCAAAAAACAGACTACTTTACTGTGCATTGATACATATCAAAACAACAGTGTTGGCCCCAAAGAACTACAGAATCCCACAAATTCCTCCCACTGATACCCCAACAGAAAAATGTCTAAAAAAATACTATGGAACAGCTATGAAAAAGGAGAATGAGTATAACAACAACAGTATGACAACAACACAATAACAAATCTCTGTTATTTATCATCTCTGTGGTTGTTTAAATGGTTACTGACATAAAATACATGCAAATAAAATAAATGCAAAATTTATGCAAAAGGAAGATGATACTACAGCAATAAAAAAGAAGGAACTTCAATGTATCAGTCTTGACCAAAAACAGTACAATGACTGCTAATATTTCACCTCTTTGAAAATAAAACAGCACACTCAATCTACAAAATGATTTTAACAAGACACTCCCCATAACACATGACTTGTATGCGCTCCCTGCCGCAAGTGAAGGCATTTCGGATCACATAGGAATACCAGGATGCTGCTTGCTTCCACAAACCCCTGAAGAAGCCATTAATGCCTTCCTTAAACTGAAACACCCTCTTTCATCTCTGCTCATCTCTCCCCAAACATTTACACACTGATCCCGATAAATGAAGAGCCCAGTTCAGCAGGAACAAGAGAAGCTACAGGAAAGAGGAAGATGCTCAGAGCCTTCAGCACGAGAAGAGTTGGCCTGGTGGGAGAGAAAAGAGCAGCTCTGAAACCCTGCTCACAGCTTCTGTGCCCCTGATGAAGGACCTTCTCTAGCATTTCACCACAGAAGAGGTATGTGTGAAAGCAGCAATTATTGGCTGTCCTAGTATACAGGGATGGTCAGGGAGTCTGGTTTAGGAGCAGAGGGAAAGCTTTTGTCAAAATCCCTGCAAATAGATGAGGGATGTTACGGGGGAACTAGACATAAGAAAAGGAAAATTATTGGAGATGTGCTGTGGTGTGTCCCAGTCACACACCAAATAGAAATATGTTGTCCCCTGATTTTTTTTCAGTTCTATGTTCTCCTTCTTGCTCCTTTCATTCATTTCATATATTTTAAACAACAGGCAGAAATTAACAGCACAGCCCTTGTACAATCCTGATGGTCAGCTCTCATCAAGTTATCCTAAAACTATGCAAAACAAAAGTCCCAGAAGAAAAAAAAAAAAAGTAGAACAAGAAAGCAAAAAACATTAATAAAGTCCTCCTGGCCTCAGCCCCACCTACACAAACAGCAAGAAGTTTTGTTCATCATATGTCCACAGCCTCTCAAAGTGGGGCATAATCAAACTCCTCACTCCACTGGTGAAAAAAACAATGCTGCAAATGCTTCATGAGCTATCAGGCATCAGTGTGGGAAGCATGGGAGAGAATTATACGGCATGCATAACATACATCTCAATTCTCACAGTGAATTTCCGTTCTTCACTACTGAATGCTACAGCAGCCTTCAGGTTAAGTCTTTAACCTTGAAAGACATTAAAGTAATTAAACTATTACATTAGAACAAGATTTCTCTTGGTGAAACCATGCTCCAACTCATGATATTTCTTAAAAAGAGTCATTAAAATACTTTGCAAAACAGGCTTATCTGATTTGCAGAATTAAATTGTATTCCCTTAGTGGATCAAATTTTCCATCTATTTGTGATAGTCCTTCTGTATTTCATTTACAACAAAACCCGAAAAATATGAGATACTGAACTTGAGAAGTTCATTGTAAGTACAAAGCCAAATAAGTACGTGGTAGTCCAAAAGAGACTTACTAATAGAAACCAAAATTAAAAGGATAATCCCAAGCCTTAAGCAACCACCCAATGAGGAATCCAGGAAGTATCCAGCATTCAGTTTGTTGAAAGAAAATAATAATATAGCACTGCACTTTTAATAGTCAAAAGAGATGCCAAACCAATAACTCTAGAGACCAAACTTCTGTGTCTTGTCAAAACAGTAATTATAACACAGGCAACAGAATTGTACTTGAAATCCCTTAAAGAAAATTCTTGCCAAAGTGCCTCACCACTACCATGGAGAGGCCACCATTAATATTAGCCTAGGATCTCTCCACTGACATTGCCAAAAGACAAAATTAATCCCTGCTGATCGTGTCCTTTCCATCTTTCTTCTTTGGAAGAGAAACAGCAAGTTGCCTTTCTGAAAGGTGGTCCATGGAAGTGCTCCCTGCTTTCTTCTCTGCCCCAAAAGAGCTGCTGGGAGAAGTCAGGGTCCTTGTGCCAACTTGCTGCTGCTGGAGCTTAGAAGCTGCCTCAAACTGTGTGGGAAAGCACTGAGGGGTGCTAAACATGCCCCAGCCCCGCACAGGCAGAGGGACAAGGGATTGATTCTCGTTTGCTCCTATCTTCTCTGCATCTGCATGGAGCCAAATAGTAGGCAGGCATAGCTCAGCGTATTACAGTAAGCTAAGTGAAAAATTAAGACAAAAAGCAAGTAAAAAAAACAACCAAACAAAAAAAAATAATATTTAAAATAAAACTTTTAGCCATTGTCTTTCTACAAATTATCTGTTCATGTGTAAATTTGTGGTTTTGCCAAAGGTAACCAGGAAAATATATTTATCAAGTTTTCTTCCTACCTCTTTATTATACCAAACCAGTTTTAGTATACAGGAGATCATAAAACAGAATTCTATACAGGGCTGCTAAATTAATACAAAGAAATTGCATCCAGCTGAGGTAAAGGTTTGGGTACTAGGAGAGTATTAGTAGAGCAGTATCGTATACGTTACCCTCCTTTCCAGAGCATCCCCCCATGTCTCTTTCATTTTCCCGCCATAAGAGGGACAGTGTACCACACCTAGAAGCTTTGCAATTCCGGCGATACACAAGCAAGCCCTTGGCTATCTCCTAGCCCCACAAACCTGTTCAATTTAAAGCCACGAGGGCCTATCAGCCATTAACTAAGAGACGATACCGGGCTGAGTGAACATTCAGTGTGACTCAGTACGACCATTCTGTTCTTCACTGTAAGCTTTTCATCTTGTGGTTTTGTTGTTGGTGGTTGTTCTTTTTTTGTTTGTTTGTTTGTTTTTTATGTTGTTTTCTCTTGCCTCTTTGATAGCAAAAGGATGTTTAGGGTGAGTGAAAACAAGTCCCCTGGAGTAAAATGGACTGTCTCACACAGAGCAATCCCAAACATCTCATATAAAGGCGTCTGCTCTGTGATAGAGATGGATAAAACCATGCAACTCTGAAAACACCTTTGCTACTGAAAAGTGCATAGAGAGTGGCTCAGACAACAGCATCG